CCTGGTCAATCCTTAGCACAGCAAAACCCAAAGATCACCAATCAGGACAAAATAAATCCTAAAAAGGTAGTCAGATGGTTTCAGCACAGGGATAAATACCCAGGGGGGATGATTCTAAGCACTTCCTGAAGTATGGTAACCACTAGTTAAGTAGCCACAGAGGCCCAGTAAACTCTGATGAGTCAAGAGTAACTACGAACATGTGGCTGTCAGTCTCCCCTCTTCCTCCTTTTTCCAAGACACCAGGACACTGCCTTACTTATCCTTCAGGTAAAGTCCATTCTCCCAGAATCCTCTCCATGGGTCCCTGAGCTTCTAAGCAGCAGTTGGGGCTAGCCCAGCAGTTAAAAGTACTTGCTGCTCTTCCCCAGGGCCTACGGGGTGGATTATAACCACCCAGTAGCTCTGGTTCCAGGGAATCTAATCCCTTCTAACCGCCTCAGGCACAAGGCATGCACATGGTGCAGACATATACAACCCCTCCCCCACGCAAAACACCCATACACATAAAATAAAATTAGGGGGGAAAGAGGAGCACCTTCGGAAAGGCAGGGTTAAGCTCATAAATTAGTCCCAACCCTGGCACAAGTACTGGGGGCACTTGCTGGACAGTATTTATCAGGATTCTCTTGAAATCAAATCTGGAAATTTGCACTTGATACTGGGAAGTACATTTTTAGGACTCTGTTCTCCTCTCCTACCACCTCGCCCTTCTTCCAGTGTGCTCTCTCTTTCACTCCTTCAAAGTTTCCCCCTAATCAACCTGTTCATACTGATTGTTCTGTAATTAGCATACTGATTCCTGCTGTAATTCGCATAGGGAACAGTATAATACTTGGTTAAGGATGCTGCTGAATGATGTTTGTGGACAGAGCATCATCAGTTGATGTGTGCTTTTAGATGCCATCTGGCATTAAGACATAGCAAGCAAGGTTAAAGGATTTGCAAACATCCATGCGTTGATTTTAATTCCAGAGCCATGGTTACTGACCTAACCATGGCCCCAGTCCCCCTCTGCCTTTATTTAAACTGTTAACATTGAATACTACAGGAAATTGATATCTTAGTTCTCCATAAAGAAAAGCATTTACTCCTTGGAAGCTTGGTAATTACAAGCTTTCCCATTGCTTCTTTCTCATAAACAGCTTACTCACATAGTTAAGGGGCCTACTAAATAAAGCTGCCTTTTCAGCTGAGCTGGTATTTGCCTTTAAAATTGTACCAAGAAGAAAAACACCACGTTCCAGTGGTGGGGAACAGCACTCCAGCCAACTCTTCATTAACTGAGGAGGAGGATCTGGGGACGAGCATTTCCAAGCCCACAGTAGAATCTCCGCATCTCGGCAGCGAAGTAACTGTGGCAACTGCTGCCTCTTACTGTGGGCTGCAGCTTTGCTGTAGAGAGAGGCTGAGCTCACTCCCCAGGTTCCCTCTGAGCCCTGACAATACAGTATGGGATAACTGCAAGGCTGAGCTCATCCTCTAAGTACGGCAAGATGCAGGTTAGATTATGAATGTCTTGGCACCTACACCCTCACAGAAGAGGTGGAGGGCCTTTCAGCTCCTCCGAGAACCTTTGAACAAGTCTGGGGCATTTAGGGGACAATCTGCTAGCTCGGCCTACTGGCCCAAGCCTACAACCCTTGTGTTCTGTAGTAAAGGCAGTAAAGAACCAGTTTGAGGTTATTGATAGCCACAGAAGAAAGTTTAGGACCAGCCTGGGCAACAGAAGACCCTTTCTGTAAGGAAGAAAAAACAAAACAAAACCTGGTCAACACAAGCAAGGATGTAGGTTTCAACGCTTAGGAAGAAAAGGGAAGTAGAGACAGCTCAGCAGTCAAGAGTAGCGCAACCACTGCCACCTCCAGCCAAGAGCTGATGCCCTCTGCTGGCCTCCAGAGGTACTACCACACAAGTGGCATAAGAAGCCCATAAAATTTAAAAACTGAATCATTATTTTAAAAGTGAGAAGAAATAAAGGCAATTTGGGGTCTTGTTATTTCTCTTTAGTACTATGGACTCTAGGTACTACCATTCAATTTCAATTTAACAAATTCAATAATCCAAGTTTTTCAACAAATCAAATGTTTCTGAGATACTCTGGAAAATAACAGCCCACTCCGCAAAATGCTGCTTCTCTGCTCTTCTATAATGTTGTATGTCCTATTTTCCTTTTCTTTTTGCTGCTTCTCCTCAACAAATGCTTCACTTTCAACTCTAACCAATTTCCTCTCTTTTTAAAAAGATTTATTTATCAGGTAGTGTTCTGCCTGCATATACACCTGCAAGCCAGAAGAGGGCACCAGATCTTTATAGTGTTGTGAGCCACCATGTGGGTGCTGGGAATTGAACTCAGGGCCTCTGGAAGAGCAGCCAGTGCTCTTAACCTGAGTCACTTCTCTGCCCCCATATTACCTCTGTGTGTGTGTGTGTGTGTGTGTCTGTGTGAAACTTCACTTCTACCTTGTGACACTACAAATGTAACTATGAGACTAAAAGGTGCATCATTTAATTAAACAGACCTTTGTGAAAACCCTCTTCCCCTAAAAACACAGTACTATAGCAACGCTCCCTGCACCCCAGGCTGACCTTGAATTGAAGAACTGCTCCAGGCTAGGCCACACCTTAATCCCAGCCCTTGGGTACAAGAGTTCCAGGACAGCAAGAGCTACATGGAGACAGTCTCAGAGTTTAGGAGCAGTCTGCTCTCCCAGAGGTCCCGAGTTCAATTCCCATCAGCCACATGGTGGCTCATAACATCTATCCTGGGATCTGGCGCCCTCTTCTGCCTGCAGGCGTACACTCCTTTGTTGTGTCCCTGAGCAGGCACATGTGCACGCCACAGAACACCTTGGAGGGGTTAGTCCTCTGTTGAGGTGATCCCTGGACTTGAACGTACGCCTTCAGATTTAGTGACAAGCATCTTTTACCATCTGCGCCATCTCCTCGGCCCCAATCTCACCTCTTACTGGAAAGTAAGCTCTTTTGAACAACCTAAAGCTTAGTATCTTCAATATTATACAGAATCTTGTGTAAGATCTTGAATGAATGAGCAATGAATCAATGACTGTATCCTCACCCTACAGCTACAAGAAACAGGAAAGTTGCCTACAGCCTCTACTGTCTAAAATAGGCAGTATAGACCTGCAATTTCTTTGTTGCTAGAGATTGAATTTAGGGCCTGGTGCATGTTAAAGCCCACACTCTACCACTTTCATACCCCTACCCCATGTTTTCCCATAAAACCAAGGGGTCTCACAAAAAGAAATGCATTAGCCAGTCCATGGCGGTGCACACCTTTCTCTGCACACAGATCTGACCATCCTCAACAGAGTGAGTTCCAGGATGGCCAGGACTACACAAAGAAACCCTATCTTGAAAAAAAAACAACGACGACAAAAAAAAAAAAAAAAAAAAAAAAAAAGAACAAAACCAAAAAGAAATGCATGGGGACGTAAGTGAGATGCTCGCATCGCAGACTACTGCCTCCTTTACCACAGCGGCTGTCCTTCATCTGTATCACTCGCTACCTGTAGTCACAGGTGTGCTCAACCACAAATCCAGTTTGTGAAGGAGTTGGAGGGGGATTTAAAATGAGCTGGTACCAGACGCCCTTTCCACCCTCAAACCTAACAACGTTGCTCCTAAAAACAACCAACAGGAAAGCAACAAAAATCAGTTATCGATGACATCCATCCCAAGTTATTTCACAGGGTACCAGATTTCTAGACCCATGGATTTTCAAAAGTTCACCATTTCTTTGTGCTTACTGTTGTGTTTTGAGGTAGGCTTTGTGTAGTCCTGGCTGTCCTAGAACTCACTCTGTAGACCAGGATGGCCTCAAAATCTGCCTTTGGAGTGCTGGGATTAAAGACATGAGTCACCACCACCCACCATCAAAAAGTTCACTCACAACAGACCCTCCAGGTAATTGGGAGTGTGTGTGGGGGGGGACTTCAAATCTTGATCCTCCTGCCTTGACTTCCTGTGTATACCTATGCCGTCATACCCTTTTAGACACATTAATTAAAAAAAGAAAAATAGCACAGTCTGAATGTCTGCCAATAGTGTGATTATGGTTTAAGGTTTTGGCTTCATTCACATTCAGAAGATAACTTGTTAAAGCCTTTAATCTCAGCACTCTTGGTAGACTGAGGCAGGAGGGTTATCTGTAAATCTGAGCCTAGTCCAGAGCCATGTCTTGAAAAACCATTCAGCAAAAGAAAGCCGCAGTGTGCCTATATTTTCTAGCGTAAAACCTGTCCTTAAATTAATTCAAAACTCTACCAAAATGTACTCTGGTAATATAACCTACTTTGAGGTAATAACCAGATTACACTTTCTAGATAAGTATTATGATATAACTGCCAGTTTTAAAGTAGAGCCTGCAAGAAATAATTGGTATATTTGAGGGAGAAACTACCCATTTAAAAACCATACTTAATTTGTATGTAGTTTGTGACCTCCGAAGTCTGTCTTTAGGCAGAAAGGCGACGCTCAATGCACAAGATGATGTAGAGAGCTGACTCTGGATGAAAAGCTGATTTACAAGCTCTTCACCCAGGGCTTTAAGAACCGAAGTGGAACCTTCACCCCCATCCAAAAAATAAATAAATAAATAAATAAATAAATAAATAGATGCATAGACGTGAAGGACAGTCAACATGTGCTATTACTAACAGGTCTTAAAGGCCCTGCAAAGCCACGATCATGTCATTTTTAGGTCCCCCCCCACCTCTAAAAGATGTCCATGAGCAACCTGCAAACCAACCGCCCTACACCCGGGGGTTTAAAACGAAAACAAAACGCGTGATGAGCTGGGGTCCCTGCGGCCTCGGGGCCTCCAGGTAGCTGAGACACAAATGCGGAGAGCGAGCTCCCCCCACCCCCCCCCACCCCGTGAGCGGCGTCCGCTCCCTCCGCGGCGAGGCGAGGGAGGACCGCAGCGGGGAGGGAGGCCAGCGGCCCGCGGCGCCCATTCATTCCGCGCCCTCACTCACCTGCGCGGGGACGCGACCTCGCGGGGCCCAAGGCCGCCGCCTGCAGTCGCGGGGACGCGGAGCGGGGTCCGAGCCCCGGCGGGGCGGGCGCGCGGCGCGGGCCGGGCGCGAGCGAGCGGCGCAGGCCGGGGGCGTCCCTGAGCAGCAGGGCCGAGCAGAGCCGCCGCGGGCTCTGATACATGCCGGGCGCCGCCGCGCTCACGAGCC